GGGTGGGGGGCGGACGTTGGCGCTGTCCAGGCGCGTGGTGGGTCCACGGTGGGCTTTGCGGCCATTCACGCGCCCCGGGGAACAGTGCGGGCCACACCTGACCAGGCCCGGCGGGACCAAGCCCTGCCTGCGCCCGCCCCCCCCCAAGCCCGGAGGAGAAGAGTGGCTTCCTGGCCCTGGATGGACTCTTGTAGGAAGTGGTGGCGGGCGTCTCCAGCTGGGGAGCTGATTCTGGGGGCGGGGGCTGGCCGCATAGCCCAGAGGTCACTGTGAAGGTCAGTAAGACCCGACCCTTCCGGCGTCAGCTGAATGACCCACGTGGTCCGGGCTGCCGTGGAGAGACGGCGAGGGAGGACCTATGCAGCGTGCGTGGCTGGAAGGAGGTGAGGGCCCGGCCCGGGCGGGGGCTGGAAAGAAGGCAGGGCCGGTGGCTGCCCCGCCGCGGTGAGGGCCCGGCCCGGGCGGGAGCTGGAAAGAAGGCAGGACCGGTGGCCGCCCCACCGCGGTGAGGGCCCGGCCCGGGCGGGGGCTGGAAGGGGGGCAGCGCCGGGTTCTTTCACGAGAGCCAAGCGGCCCCGGGGCGCTGGCTTTGGTCAGAGGACGAGGCCCCTGGCCGGCTCACGCGGGGCGTGGCTCCGAAGCAGAACCGTTCACGCCGAAGAGGGGAGAGAAGCATGAGCCGTCCACGGAGAAAGGTGCTACGGGCCGAAAATGCAGGTCTGCAGCCTTCCAGCCCTGAGAGCTTCTGACTCCTCCTCCTGCTCCTCCTCCTGCTCCTCCTCCTCCTCCTCTTCTCCTTTTTCTTCCCCTTCGACTCCTTTCCTGTCTCCAGTCTGCCCCTCGTTCCTGTCCCCAACAGCCTGGTCTGCTTTCTGTCTTCACTGCGTTTCCGGAAGGGTCTGCCTTCACCGCTTTTCCAGAAGGTTCAAATACATAACATCATCTCGCGTGGTGCCTCCGTGTCCGTCGCCTTCCCTCGCCCCCGCCACGTCCCCACCTCCACCTGCGTGGCTGCAGGCTTCAGTGTCGCCCTCCTGCCAGGGCTGCGTGGCGTGTTCGTCCGTTCGCTGGTGCGCGGACGCCGGGCTCATGCCGGGGTTGAGGTGACTCTGCGCAAGGCCGCCTCACGTCCAAGCCGGGCGCCTTGCTCCGTGGCCAGCGTGACAAGCCCGCAGCACTGAGTTCTGAACCGTGGAGGGTGGGAGCCGGCTCTCCCCTCCTCACCGGAGTGGGGCCCCCTGAAGGAGCGGCTGCCTCTAGTCTCCCCTCTCTGTGACTCTTGAAATGGCCAGAGCCTTCCAGATTAAGATGGGAGATGACATATCAAAAGAAGAGAGCCGCCGGGCGCCGGTGGCTCACGCCTGTCATCCCAGCCACGCAGGAGGCTGAGATCGGAGGATCTCGGTTCAAAGCCAGCCCAGGCAGGAAAGTCTGTGAGACTCTGATCTCCAATAAACCACCAGAAAACCGGAAGTGGCGCTGTAGCTCAAGGGGTAGAGCACCGGCCTTGAGCTGAAGAGCGGAGGGACAGCGCCCAGGCCCTGAGTTCAAGCCCCACGACTGACAAAAATAGAGAAGAAGAAGAAGAAGAAGAAGAAGAAGAAGAAGAAGAAGAAGAAGAAGAAGAAGAAGAAGAAGAAGAGGAGGAGGAGGAAGAAGAAGAAGACGAGAGCCTAAGGAGCAAACCCCATCCCTAAATATCACAGGAAAAAAATCACCATGCTCCTAAGAAATGAGAGTGGAGAAGCTGGAAAATCAAGAACCAAAGAGATAATCAATGCCGCTCTAGAAATGGCTTTCTAGAGTGATGCGTGAGAGAACAAGATGGGAGATGGGAGGGGAAAGAGAGGGTGGAAACTCCACCGCAGCCCACCCCGGGAACGCGCGCTTCTTCCTTGCGCTCGGGGTCTGCGCTTCGTGGCGTGGAGACGCGGCCTGTCTTGTACCAGGTGACAGCTCCCCTGCCTCCTCCTCTCAGAAAACTCCAGAAGCGAGGGGGAGGGGCAGGCTGCCCAGGCCGGTTCTGAGCATCTTCAAGAAAGGAAAACATATCTGCGGGTTTTACGACTGTATGTTAAAAAGAAGATGGCGTGTGTGGAGAAGGGGCCTCGTGAACAAGAGAGGAAGGGGTGAGATCCAGAAAGATTAGGCACATGTTCAGGTACTGCTCTGCTGTCTTAAATCTGTCTTGAACGACAAGAAGAAGATCGGAGAACAATTAAGAAGCAGCGACGGCCTGGTAAAAATAGGCATCTATATATAATAAGCGAGACAGGGAACACTCAAAACCCACGTGTGCACACGCGCAAGCAGGCCTTAGCAACGCACGTTCAGAAGCGGGAGCAAGCTGTTTGAACTCGAACTCGTTTTCTTCTGAGGAGCTGGGAATTGCCGGGGTGAGGGGGTGGGGAGGAGCCGTGGGGGCTCAACCTTTAAAAACAAACGGAGGGAGGCAGAAAGCCAGCCGGAGAGGTCACGCCAGGGGTCTGGTAAAACCCCAGAGGCAGGGAACAAGAGGGGAGCTGGAATCCTGGGGAGGACTCTCCAAGGAGAGAGCTCGGAAGACAGACATCAATTACATCCCCAGGTCCTGACTTTCAGGAGGGAAGGGAAGGCAGGTGGTTCTATTGCCAGGTTCAGTGGAGCAATTCTGCTCCTGTCTCTGGGGGTAATTACTGTGCTGGAAGAGCTACTGAACAGTCCTGGCGCTGAGAACCACCGGACAGATGGGACGGACAGGAACAAAAGGTTTCAGCATATGGCGCTGTACCTGCCGAGAAAACAGAGAGACTAAGGGGGGGCCCGGCAGGCCACCGCTCGCTGGATGGTCCACAGCTTTCTGATATGGGTTGCATGGGAAACCACGGCTCAAGATCCAGTCTATCCCAAGATCCGGACGTGCACCAAGTGCAGCCTGGAGGGAGGGAAAGCACTGAACGCGTCAAGGAAAGCGCGTTGGATCCAGTCTCGCAAGGTGCTTTCCCATGAACGACGGCAATTCGGTCCCAAGTCTGAATCGAACGCAAAATGGAAACGAATAGAAAGGGGGGAAAAGGAAGACTTGGCAAAGGGCGACACCCTGGGAAGCACGCCGTTGGCGGTGTCTGGCTGGCCACGGTGGAGGTGGACCAGGCCCCGCCGCCGGCTGGTCGCTCTAGCTGGGTCCGTGGGTCGCCAGCGGACAGAGGGTGGAGGGAGCAAGGAGGGGGACGCCCCCACCCCAGAGTGTGGGCCCAGGGCAGCTGACGTGAACCCCCCCGTCCCTCGGCCCCCTTTTTCCAGGGACTCCGAGTCCACAGCTCGCAGGTCGCTGTCTGGCCTAACGCCGCTCTGGGGCCTTCCTCTTCTAGCCTGGCGCTCTGGCGCACCCACTACCCGCCCCGGGAACCCCACTTCTCTGAGCTCGCGTTCACATCGGGGCTGGCTGCAACAGGAGGAAGGGTGTACGCGGAAGAGGAAGCGTTATTCGTTCGAGGGCTCGAGATTCGTCTCAGCAAGGCTGGAGGCCTCAACGTTCCAGCAGGAGGCAAGCGTTGTTTGTTATTGTTTTTTTTTTCTCCCAATCAAAAAAAAATTATGTTTTAAAACACGATGATTTGTGTTATACAGCCCTCAGCCCCAGAAGCTGGAGATTCTCCTGACAGGAAATAGTTTCCTCTTGAACAACATTTTCCATCAAAAAGCAGGAAGGCAACCGGGTGGTTCCGTGACTGTGGATTTTTATAGGTTAGCTGTCATCTCATTTTTTAGTGATTTTTATCTTGTGTGCACGATCACGTGGCCGTCACCTAGCAACGCTGCCGGGACCCAGCCCGGGCGTCCCTCGAACCAGGCCAGACGCCCCGCCACGTTCATCTATTTTGGTTTCTGGAGATGAATCGCTCGATGCCCTCTGCTTCACAGTTGCTCAGCAAAGCCAAGGGGCCGGTTTAGACTCTGATGTGGCACACCCCGCCGATGCTCCCCTTTTTTCTTGACCAAGGTGCCCCAAATACGGAGCACGGGTCTTGTTTGAAAAAAAAAGGAAGGCATACAAATGGAACAGGGCTAAACCTTTAGGTTGGGGGCATTGCTCTCTCTTCCCAGCCAGCCTTGTCCCTTGCATGCACTCCCCTGCTAAACTGCTCTCGAGGTCTGTTGAAGAGCCCTGTCCATGTCTGTTCGGGTGGTTTTTCCACCGGTTGGGCTGAGGTGCGGGGTTCATGGAAGAGAGCCGTGTGCAGTGGCTCCTGTGAGCCCCAACCCCGGGGCTGCTCAGGGCACTGCTCCACGAGCCAGTGTTGCTCGCTAAATACACAGCTCTGTGGAAGGACATGAAGCAGGGAGCCTCAGGAAGGCCAGGACCGGTGGTAGAGAGATGGAGCCGTCTCGGGGGTGGGGTCGGGGAGTTTGCACACCTTCCCTTTCTCCACCCCGGAGGGGGCCTTCCATCCCCTGCCTGGGAACGGAGACGCAAGCGTGGACCGTGGAGGGCCGAGGCCAGGCCCTGGGAGGGCGGGAAGGCCTCGTGACTCAGACGACCCCGCCGCGGCTCTGCCCTGTGGCCGAATCTGACTGGGCAGACACACGCGCTCACTAGCTAGCGGCCATTCTTGGGGTACTCGGCGTTAGCGTCAAGAATGTGGGGTAGATTCTTAATTTTTCACGCGTTTCTCGCAGGGAGATGGTGTGAGGCGGTGCTGGGGCGGGGGACGCTTGCCTTTTGCAGAGATCTGCTATCGTGAAAACGGAAAGGGGGCTTCCGAGCGCCGGCTCTCCCGCAGCCCAGCTGGCCCCGGGCTGGCGGGGGACGGGGAGGAGGGGCAGCCGCGGGCCATGCCCACCCAGGGCCTCCCCATTACCTGCAACGCCCTCCTGGCTGTAGCAGGTCTTGTGCATCTTCCCCATGAACAGCTCCAGGCCGATGATGGCGTAGATGATGATGACGAAGAGCACGAGCAGGGCGATGTGGAGCAGGGGCACCATGGCCTTGATGATGGAGTTGAGGACCACCTGGAGGC